TGGCGGACCCGAGGGGAGGGCGGAGGTCTCTGCGATGGTGGCTTTCCTGAAGGCTGAGGCCCCGAATCGTTGGAGGTCTTCTCTCTCTCTCTCTTTTTTTTTTTTTAGTAAACATTTTTTATTATGCAATTGTGGGGTACAGTTAAGGGTTAGGTATACAAATGTGCGTCGTTCAGGCACCCTTGTTGATAAGGGGTGTCTCCCCATCCCCAGACAGATCTTGACCACCGGTAGTCCCGCCGTCCTTCCCCTCCCTATCCCCCCCATAGTTTCCCACCACTGTCAGTGCTTTTTTTTTTTTCTTTTTAAGTGTTATGGTAGATGTTCAGGGTCCACCATATGAGTGAGAACATGGTACTCAGATCTTTGTTTCTGTGAGAGATCACTCAGTATTATTGACTCTAGTTCTATCCAGGTTGCTTCGGAATTCATGATTTTGTTCTCTTTTAGGGCTGCGTAGTATTCCATCGTGTATATGTACCACATTTTTTTAATCCAGTCCTCTGAGGTCTTGTTTCTAAAGCCACAGCAGGGTGGCCACAATGAAAGGGGACTTCCCGCCTGAAGCAGGAGGGGAGAAACCACCTTCTCTTTTGCAGGGAGGAAATGTCCTGTAGCTTGAATGAACAGTAGCTGCGGTGGAGAAGGGCGGCTGTGGGATTCTCTCTGTGATTGTGAGGAGCTCAAGGACCATCTAGTTTATAATTGTGTGATAAAACTTGTTTTAAGTGTAGGTTGAAGCTTATTCTGAATGTATATTGAAACTTGTTTTTAAAACTCAGATGTATGCTTGCTTTCCCACCCAAGCCCAGTAGTATACTTTCGGTAAACAAGTTCACATACCAAAAGAAAACCGCGGAGTCACGGTGCAGACCCTCTGGTCCCATTTCCTGCTCCACTCCCCTAGTAATCTCACATTCCAGATGTCCCCACCAGTTCCACCCAACCCGCCTGACCGTTGATGGTCAGCTGCGGTCAGCCACGACCCGTGACCATACAAACCAGCCAATTCCAAATGCCCCCGCACCCAGTAGGAGAAATTACCCAATCATGTGCAGACAAGTTGAAAGTTCTTTCCCCTCCCTTGTAACTGTGTATATAAGCTGCTTGCTGCGCTGGGTCTGGGCTCTCGTTCCGGTACCGCTGCGCCGGCTACGGACGTGAGCCCAGACTCGAGCCTGAATACAGACCCTCGTGTGATTTGCATCGGAGCTGGCTCTGTGGTGGTCTCTCGGATTCAGGATTCGGGTACAACAAGTGATGTCGCCGTCCAACCCAAGGTAAGGATGGAGGCCGTTCTAGGTATGTTTTAGGGTCTTAATTTGCTCCATAAAGTGGAAAGGAAAGGCATCTGGGCACAAAAGAGAGAAAGACTGGAGTAGGGGACAGTATTTTTGAAGTCTCAAGGTGGGGGTGTCTCAAGGGGGACGTGACAGGTTGGTGGACAAAGACATGAAAGAAGGAAAGAACAGAGCTGAGGGCCCACCTGATGTTGGAGTCTACACATGTGTCACTACATGTATGCTCCTGAATTTGTTGAAATCCTAGATTCTTCCAAACACACTGATAAAATTGATCCCTCCCTCTTAAAACCTGAAAAATTGACTGTCTGAAAACTACAGCATTGTCTCACATTATGGAGATTAAACCCAACTGCTCAGAAAAGTTTGGCTAAACTGTGAGCAAAAAGAAAGGTAGAAAAATCTGTTAAATAAACAAACAACACAACTGGGTATGGTGGCTCACACCTATAATCCCAGCACTTTGGAAGGCCAAGGTGAGAGGATTGCCTGAGCCCACAGGTTTGAGACAAGCCTGGGTAGCTTGGCAAGACCTCATCTCTACAATAAAATAAAAAAGTTAGTTGGGCATATTGGTGTGTGCCTGTAGGTACCAGCGACTTGGAAGGTTAAGGCAGAAGGATGGTCTGAGCTCAGCAGGTAGAGACTGCGGTGGCCAGGAGTGTGCCACTGCACTCTAGCCTGAGAGACAGAAGGAAATGCCAACTCACAAAGACAGAAAAGAAAAACACTGAGCTGTAGCCTTAGATTACAGTTCATTGTATTTCTTTAGTTTAACAGTCAAAGGGGCCAGCTGTGGTGGCTCATACCTGTAATCCCAGTAGTTTGGGAGGCCGAGGCAGGTGAAGAGCTTGAGTTTGGGAGTTTGAGACCGGCCTGGGCAACTTGGCAAGACCTCATCTTTACAACAGATCAAACAATTGGCCAGGCATGATAGGGCACCTCTGCAGTTCCAGCAACTGGGAAGGCTGAGATGGAAGGACCGCCTGAGCCCAGATGGTTGAGGCTGTGGTAGCCAGGAGCGTGCCACTACTCTCCAGCCTGGGCGACAGAGTGAGACTTTGACTCAATAAATACATAAATAAATAAATCAAGGAAAAAATTTTGTTTTATCATTTGGTATTTACATAACTCATTTAACAATACTGCTTAAGACATTCACAACACCAAATCTTGATTTCATAGGGTTTTTTTTTTTTACTTCAGTTGAAAAAAATGTTTAAAGCCTCTTACATTTTTTGGAGCATTATTTTACATTTTGCTGCAGACATTTGTACTATGAGTTCTTTCTTTGGCAGAAATCTGAACTAACAAGTACTTCTATTGTTTTTTTTCCCCAGATTTTTTGCATTTCCACAGTTTCATTTCACCCTTTTATAATATGACAGCATTTCTCAGCAAACATTTAGGTAAAATATCACAAACTTGATTAAAAAGTGTGTGATAGTAAAGTCTAAATTGCAGATGAAAAACAGTGCCATATTAAGCATGAGAAGTGGCTGTGGGAATGCAATTTACATTTTGAATTAACACCGTATAGAATGTATGCAGAATAGATGCAGGTTGGAATTCACAGGGACTTTTCTTTCAGTTTATGGAAAGAATATCATTCTTTTTCAGTAAGATTTAATCAGGCTACTTGAGACTGAAATATAATAGTAGACTGGATATTAACTTTTTTCCTCCATATACTCTGAATGTAAAATTACTTGGGAAAATTTACATTGACACAACATGGTAAGGACATTCTCTGTGTGTGTACACACACGTGCACACACACACGTACATATAGATTTCCTTTTAAGATAAAATATATATGAGACTTCAAAAAATTGGGGATACAAATAAAATTTTAGCAAAATAAAATAGTATCCCTGTGAAACAGAAACTGAAGTTGAAAAGTGCTTGTTGAACTATAAGCTGTTCTAAATTTTAGTGACAAAATCATTACAATACTAATTATAAATTTAAAATGGTGGTGTACAAATAGTTTCTATAATCTCTAACATGTCATTCTCAATATTTTATATTCTATGTTTTATAACTATGATATTCTATATTTAAATTTTAAGTTTAAATTTTGATATACTACTTTATCATATTTAAGCTTCTGGTTCATTTTATAGACAGAGTCACTCTAACACTAAAAATATGTACATATTTAAACACTTAATTTAATCTGAGATGGCATCTGCAACAACAACAAAAAAAGCAGAACTACTGTTTTCTCACATGACATTGGGCCGATGCAAAGTTTGTGGCATTTTTCTTTTGCCCGTGGAACACAAACGTCCCATGATGGTTGACGGGTCACAGCTCGTCACATTTGCAAATTCTCAGGTTGACTGATGTAGATCATCATGGATTAAGCGTTTAAAATGTCTTCTTCAAAGTCCGATTATCTTCCTGAATGTGGAAAATCACTCAGGTCAGAGTGACCCTCTTTGAAATGACACAAACATTTTCTTGCCATGCTTTTCCCAATGGCATTTGCCCCGTACTTGGCACAAATATTTCAAGCCACGTTCATGGCCTTTACTCCTCTGTTAAACTCAAGCAGAAGAGTATGTCAGAAGTGTTCATAGTCTTCCACTTGACAATCCATCTTCTTTAGCCCACAAATATCGCTAACGTTCTTCAAATGTGCAAAATGCAAATGTATTCACAAATACATTAACATTGTCATTACAAATGACAAATTAAGATAAACTTCCAGCCCCACCGTGTTGCCATGCCAAAAATAAATGCTACAAACTTATGCATCACCCTAATATTTAAAATTGTATAATCTTACATGAAGGTAGACTGTGTTCAGTTAAAGATATATGTTATAATCCCTGCAGCAACCACTTTTAAAAAATAGGAGTACAGCTTATAAGCTATAAGTGGACATAAAACAATACTAGAAGATAATCAACACTAAAGCAGAAAACTTCAAAGGGAGGAACAAAGAGAAAATGGCACTCACGGAAAACAAACAGCAAGATGGTAGACTTACACCCAACCATATCAGTAATTACAACAAATGAAATCATCTAATATTTCAATTAAAAGTCAGAGGTTCACTTTCAGTTTCTAGATTGGCATGTAAAGATCCTAGAAATCATCCCTCTCTCCTAACATAAAGTAAAAAGTTGAAAAAAATTGACAATCAAAAACTCTTCCAAATCTGTCAGAGAATTAAGGTCTTTGGGCAAACTACTGCTCCAAAATTGAAGAGATAGACTAGTGGATACAGAGAATTACCACCTCGGTGGGAACCAGGACTGGTATAGGGAAACCTTCAATTTACAAATTGCTAGGAGCTTAATTTGGACAGCATTAAGGAGACCTCTACACTTTTGTGAGTTTTACCTCTATTTCCCTCACCAGGTTCTCACAGTGAAGATTGGAGGAAAACTCTATCTTAGTCTGTTTGGGAAGCTACAACAAAATGCCTTGGACTGGATAATTTATAGACAATAGAAATCATTGCTCACAGTTCTGCATGTTCACTGTTCAATAAGAAATTACAATGCATACAAAAAAGTAGAAAACACAACTTGAAGAGACAGAACAAGCATCAGAACCAGGCTCTGATACTGCAGGAGTGCTGAAAAATCAGAGACTGTCAAACTGAATTCAAAAAATCTCAACTATACACTGTCTACAATAAACTTGTTTTAAATATAATGATACATATAGCTTAAGAATAAAAGGGGGTGAGAAGCGGCTGCAGAGCCGAGCGGAGGAGGCAGGAACGGAGTTCGAGCGGCAGCTGGGTGGGCACCATGGCTGGAATCACCACCATCGAGGCGGTGAAGCGCAAGATCCAGGTTCTGCAGCAGCAGGCCGATGATGCCGAGGAAAGAGCCGAGCGGCTGCAGCGGGAAGTGGAGGGAGAAAGGCGGGCCCGGGAACAGGCTGAGGCTGAGGTGGCCTCCTTGAACCGTAGGATCCAGCTGGTCGAAGAGGAGCTGGACCGTGCTCAGGAGCGCCTGGCCACTGCCCTGCAAAAGCTGGAAGAAGCAGAAAAAGCTGCTGATGAGAGCGAGAGAGGTATGAAGGTTATTGAAAACCGGGCCTTAAAAGATGAAGAAAAGATGGAACTCCAGGAAATCCAACTCAAAGAAGCTAAGCACATTGCAGAAGAGGCAGATAGGAAATATGAAGAGGTGGCTCGTAAGTTGGTGATTATTGAAGGAGACCTGGAACGCACAGAGGAGCGAGCTGAGCTGGCAGAATCCCGTTGCCGAGAGATGGATGAGCAGATCAGACTGATGGACCAGAACCTGAAGTGTCTGAGTGCTGCTGAAGAAAAGTACTCTCAAAAAGAAGACAAATATGAGGAAGAGATCAAGATTCTTACTGATAAACTCAAGGAGGCAGAGACCCGTGCTGAGTTTGCTGAGAGATCGGTAGCCAAGCTGGAAAAGACAATTGATGATTTGGAAGATAAACTGAAATGCACCAAAGAGGAGCATCTCTGTACACAAAGGATGCTGGACCAGACTCTGCTGGACCTGAATGAGATGTAGAGCACCCCAGGCCCTCCCTGCCGCTGATCCTCCCTCTGACCCGACTCCGCCTGAGGCCAGCCTGCCCGAAGCTGACCTTTAACCTGAGGGCTGATCTTTAACTGGAAGGCTGCTTTCTCCTTTCGCCGTTCCCTCTACTCCCCTGTGTCTTTTTGGCCAAACTGTCTCTGCCACTTCCCAGAGATTCTAGCTGGGCTAGAGGCTGAGCACATTTGGGAACAACATTTAAGGGAATGTGAGCACAATGCAAAATGTCTTTAAAAGCATGTTGTGATGTACACATTTTGTAATTAACCTTTTTTGTTGTTTTGAAGCAACCGTTGGTAAAAACATTCCAAATAATTCCACAGCTCTGAAGCAAACAAACTAATCCCTTTTTCTCTTTTGGAAGGTGACTTTTTTGTTTAATACATATTACCCTCTCCATGGAGAAGGGAAAAAAGTGTGGGCCTGCCTTACTGAGAACCAAACAGAGCCCTGGAAAAGTCTCCACTATGAAAAATCTCATTGCTCTGTACAAAGTACTAGCCAAACCAGAAAGGTGATTCCAGGAGGAGTTAGCCAAAACAACAACAAAAATGTGCTATTCAGGTTTTCAGCTTTAAGGTATCTTTGGACAACTTTATTTTTTATTTTTTTCATTAGAAGTGACCAAATTAAGATGGTAAGACCTCTGAGACCAAATTTCTGACCTATGTGTACCCCCTTCCCAACCACTCACAGAATGGATCACATGCCCCTTATGTTGAGGTGACCACTTAATTGCTCTCCTGCATTTTTGAAAGAAAATTATGATTTTTGCCACTGATTTAGCCATATGAAACTCATCTCATTACCCTTTTTGGGGTCTGAAGCTGCTGTCTCTAAAAGTGCCATCTCATTGTGCTTTGTATCAGCCAGTGCTGGAGAAATCTTGAATAGCTTATGTACAAAACTTTTAAAATTTTATATTATTTTAAAACTTTGCTTCTTTGGGTTTGGGGTGCCCTGGCCACCCCATCTGGCTGTGAGAGCCTACAGTTTGTGGGCTGGCAGTGTGCTGATCTTTGAAGTTTCTTTCCCTTCCCAGTCCCCACTTTTTGGTAAGGTTTCTATGAAGTCTGTTAGGTGTACATCCTGCAGCTTATTGACTTAAAATTTACTCTCCTTTGGTGTGGTCTCTTTGGGACCGATTGGGAGAAAGAGAAACCAATAGTGTACCTGTTTTGATACTGCATATTGATAAGTGTCTTTTTGAAATAAAGAACCAGTCCCTCTCTCAGACCTAAAAAACAAAAAAAACATCATAAGGAAAATATATTTGCTACTCATTAAGTGAAAGTGGATCATCATAAAGGTCTTCATCCTCGACTTCTTCATGTTGAGTAGCTGAGGAGGAGGAGGAAGAAGAGGAGGGACTAGTCTTGCCATCTCAGGGATGGCAGAGGAGGAAGAAAATCCATGTATTAGTGGACCAATGCAGTTCAAACCTGTGTTGGTCAAGGGTCAACTATATTAATCTTAAACCTTCTTCTGTCTTTCTCCTATGGGGCTAGATTCCTTTTTATTTGTATTTTGCTGGGGGTGGAGGGAGGCAGGATATAGGAGAGATGGAAGCTGCATCTTTTTCCCATGTATAAAATATGCTTTTATCATGTCAAGGAAGAATCATTCAATATCGCACATAGCTCTTGCCGAGTTGTGCATTCCCTCCAGCTGGCTGGCTGTTGGCCCTGGTGAGCTTGTAACACGGAGAAGAGGTGGGCAGCCAGGAAGCTTCCTGTGTTTCTGAAATGAGTGGAGTGTCCTTAAGTCCCTGTGCACCCTTTCAGCAGACACAGAAGTCTGTTGTCCACTGTTTATTTTGAGTGTGCTTCGTTATTCCTGAGTGAGATTGCTCTGTGCTTTCCTTTGTGGATTTTATTACCATTATTGGGTTTTCTTCCCAGAAGAGGCACGTGGACATTTATTCTTTCCCTCTGTGCTGGACAGTCTGGATGGTGGGAATGAGCAGCTCCTCAAAGATCCAAAGGGTCTTTCTTTCACCTGCAAATCCATTGGGGCCAGGCCCTTATTGGTAGTGAAGATAATTGGCAACGTTTTCATCTCTTTCATGGTTATTGGTCCCCTTGGGTTTTCTATGCCTTCTTATAGTGACAATGTTGTTTTATATTTTCCTTGCCCATTTTATCCAACATATCATTATATAGACAATTAACTCAGTTTTCTAATTCTTTCTGCTTCTGTGGGTGTTTGCTCTTTTCAGTCCAATTTTGTGAATTACTATTTTCATAATCTTTCTTGATCAAAACAGACAGTGACTAATCTCTGTTATTAGTTCTCCATCCCATGCCCTAGGACTAGTTCTTGTGTTTACTTACTGTACCTATTTTTTTTTGAATACCTAATCCATTTCTTTTTGTTCTTTCTTGTTTAGAAATGAAACATGCCCTCTGCCTGGCATCTTGACTGTCTCCTGAAGTTTTGTCTGTCTTATGCCCATTGTTGATATTTTTTGGATTTTTGGTGTTTGTGGTTTCTATTTCCTCTCTAACAAGTGCATTTTTTTTGGAAGCAAGGTTTTACAAATCCCAGTGGCCCAGGCTTTTTGGTCTCTCTCCCAATACTCATTGCTAGTTTTATTGCAGTGTGTACATGGCCAGGGAACAGATCATGGACCACAGCCACTTCTTAGTATGCTTTGTGGCTTCCTTCTGGGTCTTGCAATTTTTTCCTTTTGTAAGTGGCCCAGAAGCCTGTGGGAAGAGTGTGAAGTTTGAAGTGTCAATTCTAGTCAGTATATTAAATCATAATTTGTGGGGTTCTCTGTCTCCTCATTTATTTTAGTCTTGCAGATCTGTGAGAGTTGTGTTAAAGCCCCACACTGCTTTTATGATTCTGCCAGCTTTCTTGGTGGTTGTGTTCCTGTGTGCTCATTGCAGGGAAGATGACAGGGAATGCTATATGTACTCCTACCAGTCACAGCTTTGTGGTGACTTCTATAGCATAAACTTCTCTGTCCCATTCATTGCTTTTTAATTTTTAATTGTGTGGAAAGTATACACAACATAAAATCTACCATCATAACCATTATAAGTGTTCAATTCAGCAGGATTAAGTACATTCACACTTTTATGGAACCATCACCACCATCCATCTCCAGAATTCTGTTCATCTTGCTTAAACTGAGACTCTGTCCTCAGTAAACACTAACTCCCCGTTCCCCCTTTCCCAGGCCCTGGCACTCACCATTCTATAATTTTTGACACTGTGATTTTCACTACCCGAGGAGCTTCGTGTAAGTAGAATCATACAATATTTGTCCTTTTGTGAATCAGGGTTCATCTGTATTGTAACATGGGCCAGAATTTCTTTCTTTTGAAGGCTGAATAATATTTCATTGTTATGTGCAGACCACATTTTGTTTATTCATTTATTTTTCCATATTCGCCAAAAAACTTATTTTGTTTTTGATAGTAGCCATTCTAAGGGGTGTGAGGTGCCATTCTTTACTTTGTAGGTGGAAATCAACTCTGCCAGGGACAGTATAGTGGTTTATCATTTTTCAGTCTTTTATTTGTCTGACATTCCACGACCCACCTTTTGGATGTTACCCTGAGCGGCTGAGTTTTTTGACCTGGTTTAGCATCCAGTTTTCCAGTGGATTTGGGGGATGCATTACTATTGTTTGCCCATATCCTGGGACATGCCCTGAGAGCCTGGTGACTCTGGGCAGGCCACTTCTCTCTGCAACTCCTCATCTGTGGTGTGGAGTGCCCATCTTCTGAATGGCCTAAGGATTCTTGAGGCTTGAGTGTGAGGGTATGTAGCATCTTGGCATCCATAAGCAGTGTCCTGAGTGCTCATGAGCCTCTCTGTTTTTAAGAAATTTGCTTGGAGTTTATCTGACATCTTATTTTCTATTTTCTGGGGTTTTTTAAATTAAACTTTATTGGCCGGGCTTGGTGGCTCAGCCTGTAATCCCGTGCTTTGAATGAATTGCCTGAGTCTGTGGGTTCGAGACCCGCCTAGGCAACTTGGCGAGACCTCATCTCTACAATAAATCAAAAAATTTAGCCGGGTGTGGTAGCACACACCTGTAGTTCCAGCTACTTGGAAGGCTGAGGCGGAAGGATCGCCGAAGCCCAGCAGGTCGAGGCTGTGGTGGCTGGGAGCATGCCACACACTCCAGTCTGGGCGACAGAGTGAGACTCCAACGCAAAAAAAAAAAAAATTAAGTTTTATTTTCTTTTAGCAATGCGGGGTACAAGTGAAGATTAACTACATAAATAGGCTGCAGGCAGGTAAAGTTTGGGCTAGAGGTAGAGGGTAACTAGAGATAGCCCTCACCCCAACGGTAGTGGACCAGGTACCCTTTGTGTTGTCACATGCTCCCTGGCCTCCTCCTTCCCTCCCTCCTGAAAGAAGTTGGGCGCCAGTAATGACTCCACACCTGGCCAGGACCAAGAGATTTATTAAAGTGGCCAGAAAGAGAGATGAGCCACAGAGAGAGACAGAAAGAGAGATGAGAGAGGGGGGAGA